AGCCATCATGAGGATGGAGCAGGACTGGGCAGTGTTTGTTCTCTTGTGCAGAGGGTCACGTCGAGAAGTAACCGACTAGTCAGTTCGTAACATCAACAACAAAATTGTTAGTTTATAGAGAAATGCAAATAAAAGCCGGAATGAGATAACATTATACATCATCTGTAGTAATTGAAAATACTGATGAGATACCAGTTGTTCATGAGGATGTGGGACAATCAGAACTCTCATACATTGCTGGTGAGATTATAAAATGATACAGCCATTCTGGAAAATAGTTTGTTAGATTCATAAAAAGTTAGAACATACACCTACCATTTGATCTACTATTTGTCCTTTAACTATAAAACTTAGTTCGCCAAAAAAAAAAAACAAAAAACCCATATACAAATGTTTAAAGCAGATTATTCATAACACCCAAAACCTGGAAACATCCTAAATATGTAAATTATGATATAGCCACACAAGAAGGAACAAACTTTTTTATGCATACAACAAAATGGATGCTTCTTAGATTGGGTATGTTAAATGATAAAAGCCCATCACTGATTACAGATGTATGACTGTGTGTATATGACATTCTGGAATAGGCAAGATATAGAAACACAGCAGAACAGGGGTTGCCAGGACCAAGAGGGCCTAGATGGGGCCAGCTTAAGGAAATTCTTTGGACTGTTATAATTGTTTTGTATTCTGTTTATAGAGTTATTACCAGATGCCCCACATATGTTAATAAAAGTGTAATCCTAAAAAAGTGATTTATAAAATTAGAATTCTAAAGGAAATTTCAATGTTTCTCAACTTGTATGCATTTGTGAATGCTCATGTAAAGACATGTACCATTTGTGCATTTCACTGTCTAAATTTTGCATCACCTAAAAATAAAGCATTGTAAACAAACAAAAGTGTTTGGAGAATGGGAGAAAAGCACTTATGTGTTCCAATTAGAAAAGTGTACTCTAAGGTGTGAACAATAATTACACTTATCATGGCAAGGATCCCTCTGTTTTCCTTTTTAGCAGGTAACCATGTTGTCTGTTTTCTTGACAACTTACTGTTGATTCACTGATTGTTGCTTCCTACTGGCCACAAGCTAGATAAAAGCTCTTTTGTAATCTGGTTTTCTACATCAATTCAGATTTATCCTATTTCCTTTTTCTTTGCCTTTTTCACACAATTCTCTCATCGGTTGACCAGCAAAAACAAAAGAAAAGAAAGATCATGTTAAGGAGAAATGAGTCCTGAGTGTTCCCTCTGAATCTGTCACATTTAGCATTTAATCATTCACCAGTTGTTTCTTCAATAGTAGAAACAGTTTGCACTATTGGTTGTGATTATCTTTGGGCCCATATAAAACCAACGGGGCTTTTTTCTTAAACTTTGGAGCCCATTTGCAACGCTATGGATTGAATGGATATATTTTAGTGCTTTGCTGCGGGTGACACTTTGCTACTGGTGACAATAGATGATGTCAGATTAAATTTAAATTGATCTCCTCTCAGTGCTATCTCTGATGCGTGTACATTTACTTCAGCACCAGAGAACCTTTCCGAGCCATTCTGTCAATACAGCTACCTGACAGCCATTTGTATTTGTAAACTGTGCATTTGGTACCTGCTGGTCTCTGTTGCACTGGAGCTAGTGGGGAGCCAAAGTGGGTATACAATGAAGTTATTGGTTAGTACTTCTCAGTGGGAGTTATTGAAGGGAAGAAACAGCACTTGCAGGACCTCAGGGGAGGATAAAAAGAAAAAGAAACTGGTAATATTAACACAAGCCTTTGCTACCTAAAAATAGTGATTAAAAAAGTCAATCAACTTTACCCAAGGAATAAAGGTGTTTGTGGACCTGCATTTTATTTTTGTGGTAGGAGAAACAAAGGGATTCTGTTTAAGATGTATAATGAATTAAAAAACCAAGGACTCAGAAGACAGGCAGTTCATATGAGGAAGAAAACAGACAGGGGAGGTGGGTGGCGTGGGGTGGGATTAGTTTCTGAAGAAATTAAACTAAAATATAAGTGTCCTTTATTTATCAAAGTAGAAAAACAAATTGTAATAATGAAAACTGACGAGTGTACTAGCAAGACTTGGAAGAGCAGACAGTAGCAGCTAAAATGGACTGATGTGTTATAGGTATAATTTGCCTACACCTTGTCAACAGTTCTTTTGCAGTCAGTGTACTTTACTGGATTCTATTCAAGGAAGTAACTCTAACCAAAAAAGTCTGATAGATAAGTTTCCTTTGTTCAGAGTGGTCTGTCCTGCTGCTACAAAGTATGTCTCTGTATTGCAAATTGGGCAAATGATGTCTATATAAAGTGGAAGTTGTGTTTCTTTATATATCATTTTCCTTGCATTTTTGAAGCCATCAAAGTTTTTTTCATTTAAGGAACTTGCCATAGTGTGCTGTATGAAGACTTCAAAACAAAACAAACAAAAACACCCTTTTTGTAACATAAGCAAAGCAACAAAGACTGGTTTATGGCCTTGAGAAGTGGTCTGCTCTTCACAGTGCTAAACTGACCAGTGAGGCTGTAGGTGTGATTGCAGAGTTTATGAAGACATTTCCTCTTGGGTTAAATATTGTTTTCTTTCCGGAAAGGCTACACCCTAGTTCAGACTAGTCTGATGAAAGTAGTGCTTACTAGTAGTGAATACCTCATGGATCTGCATCTCAAAGAGGCTGCAAACTCCAGGTTAAGGACTCAGGGTTCAAATGTGGAGATGGAATGGTACTAATAGTCTGTTTATTGGTTCACATTGGTTCCTGGGACTGCTGTGATAAAGTGCCGGCAATTGGGTGGCTTAAACACAGAAACGTATTCTCTAACAGTGCAGGAGACTAGCCGTCTCTAATCAATGTATCAGTGGGGCTGTGTCGTTCCATGAAAGAAACATGAAGCTTTCTGCTCCCATAAAGATTTTCAGCCTCGGGAACACTGTACATTGTCGCTATGAGTAGGAATCGACTCACCGGCACATCATCACCACCACCATGTTCTCTCTGAAGGCTGTGAAGAAGGCCTCTTCACTCCTTGCCCTTCTGTGGTTTCGGGTGTCCTTGGCTTGTGGTCGATACATCCCTTCTCTGCCTCCATCTTCCCAGGCCTATCTTCCCTCTATCTCTGTGTGGCTGTCTGTTTCTCTTCCGTTTATATAAGGACACCACTCATACTAGGTGAGGGACTACTTCATATTCTAGTATGTTGTTGTTAAGTGCCGTTGAGTTGGTTCCGACCCATAGCGACCCTGTATATAGGGTTCCCAAGGAACAGCTGGTGAGTTTGAACTGCCCACCTTGTAGCTCAAAGTGACTTTGCAGTTCAGCGTATTAATAAACAGTGCCACCAGGACTCCCCATTATTATATCTGCAAAATTTGATTTCAAGTAAGTTCCCATTTGTAGGTAGCAGCGGTTAGGATGTGTCCATAATCGGGTGGCGATGCTCAGACTCTCAGCCGTGCTCTAGTTATAAAGTTGCTTAGTTTTTAATGGTCAGTCTCTAACACTTCTTCCCCTGGAACCTTGTTTTATTTAGTGTGATTTTACAGAATGCATGGATCTTTAGTTACGTATCTGTAGTTAAGGAAAAAATATAAATGCCCAATAATAAGGGATCCTTAAGTAAGTGTGGATAAATGCTGGCGGTTTGAGTTCACCAGCCTCTCCTCAGGTGAAAGGTGAGGCTTTCTGTTTCCCATGAAGATTTAAAGTCTCAGAAACCCTATATGGAGTTGCTAAGTTGAAACTGACTCAGTGGCACTTAGCAGTAACAAGTAAGTACAGTATCTTGATACACTATGTTTTTGTTGTTCAGTGCCATCGAGTCGGTTCCAACTCATAGTAACCCCGTGTAGGGTTTCCGAGGAGCAGGAGGTGGAGTTAAACCTCCGATCTTGCAGTTCAAACCAACCTTGTGGTCAAGTGCTTATCCTGCAGCGCCACACCAGTACTCCTGTGTCCTGTCATGGTGGTGGTGTGTCAAGAACTCCCATAATGCATCTTAATGTTCAAATGGTTGATGTGGAAAATGGCTGTGAAACAAGTACAAGTAGAACATAAAAGTGGGTGTCTAGCTACCGAGATTATAACTGTATAAAAGTGTTATTATATCTACTGGCCTCCAATACATAGGGTAGAATAGTCAGATAATTGGTAAAGTTTTAAAAGCAAAAAACAAAAAAAAAACCTCTTGTAAGTTGTTAAGGAGTCCTGGTATGGTACTGCCAAGTCCTTGTGTGGCGCTTCAGTTTAATGCAGTGGACCGCCAAGTCGATTTGAACGACAAGGTCAGCAAGTCAAACTCACTGGCCACTCCTCAGAAACACTATACAGCAGGGATAAAGAACCATTTTTCTGCCACGGGCCATTTGAATATTTATAGTATCATTTGCAGGCCATACAAAATTACCAACTTAAAAATTAGCCTGCTATGTTAGGTAAAAAATTTAATTAAGTCATCCCTAATAAGGAGCTCTGGTAGCGTAGTGGTTACGAATTGGGCTGGTAGCTGCAAGGTCAGCAGTTCGAAACTACCAGCTGTTCTGATGGAGAAAGATGAGGCTTTCTGCTCCCATAAAGATTTACAACCTCAGCCTCGGAAGCCCAGTGTAGGGTTGCTGTGAGTCGGAACCAACTCCATGGTACACAACAACAACAACAACAATGTGATGGTTGGAGTCCTGGGGTGGCACTGCAGATTAATGCACTAGATTGCAAGGTCAGCGATTCAAGCTCACCAACCGCTCCTTGGAAACCCTATCCAGGGTTGCTCTGAGTCAGAACCTACTCAACGACACTTACCAATGACAACAGTCTGATGGCTGGAACCATGGTTGCCTTGGCAGGGCCAAACCAAATGATTTGGGGGGCGCTATACAGGGTCACTATGAGTCTGAGCTGACTCAAGGACACTTAACCACAACAGAGTTATTAGATAGCATTAAGTCTATTTTAAACCGTTTAAGCTAACTTTGTATCATGGCTTTTGGTTTTAGAGTTCCTGGAAAACTCAGACAGTTCATATTTGACTTGCATTCTGGAAAACTGCACAGAGAATTCCATCATGGGCCTGATCCAACCGATATCGCCCCAGGACAGGTAGGACTCTTAGCTGTTTTCACTGGGGACTCGGTTCTCTTTCAGCTGGCCTCGAAGATGACCTACAGCTGTGGCATAGGCATGAGTTTCAGCTCCTGGGAGTCTTTGCAGAGAAATTCTGAAAGAGACTCTAGAGAAGATACAAACTACACTGTATTTTCATTCATCTTTAAAATGTTAGGCCTTCAGAAATGTTGAAGGAATGTTATCCTATAGTATTCTTGATCTTCATGGAATATGGTTATAAAAATATTAAATAGAGTTGGCTTCAATTAGAAGTAGGAATTGGAAGCCAGTAGATCAGGGGAGAGATGGATAGATTCCATGGCTTGTTCAAGCCTCCCCTGTAGCCAGATGATTGGCTGTACTGTAAAGAAATGAATGATTTTTTGTTCTTGTCAAACCATCATCCTAAGAGCCCTCGTCTATATGGGATTCATGATGCTCAAAATTTAGGATTTCATGTCACTTTACCATGTGTTACTTAGAATGTCTGAATTATTTATCAGAATTTTCTATTTGCTGTTTTTATAGTTATTTTTTATTTTAACTTAGAATTTTTCTATTTCTATCTTGTAACTTTAGTTATAGTAATTTTTGTGTTCCTGATTGATTAAGCATCCTTGAGTTCGGGTAGTATAAATGGCTAAGAGTCGACTCCTAAATATGATACTAGGAAGGAAGTTGATAGATACCAAAATCCTTCTATTCCATATGTCTAGAACTTAACTCCATTATTTGGCTCTCCATTTATAAAAGTGAGGGAGAAAACTGAATGAATTTTTCTTTACCATATTTTGGAGCCAAATTAGGTTCCAAGTCAAGAATTCCCCATAGAAATCTAATGAAATGCTTTTTACTTGAAATCTTAGATCAGTTTTCCTTTGGTAATTAAGCAACTATAGAAAAGCATACAAACTTTCTGTTGGCAAAAACCCGACAGTGATTATTTTCCTCAGGAAAGAAGGCCTGAATAGTATTTTATGTAATATAGTAGGAAAGGAATCTTGGTATGGCGCTGCAGAATAATGCACTGGGCTGCAAAGTCAGTTTGAGCCTCAAGGTCAGTGATTCAGACCCACCAGTCGCTCCTCAGAAACCCTATACAGAGTCACTATGAGTCAGAACTGACTTAATGGCACTTAACAACAACAACAAATATTAGGAAAAGGACCTTACAACTGTTATATGTTTCTTTTTGTTTCAGTTGACCAATCAGACAATATACTTCTGTGTTTTATTTATTCATCTTTGTGTACCAGCATACAGTAAACACAAAATACATGTTTATTTTATGATAATATGATTTCAGGGTATTTAATCCAAATCTCCATCTCACCAAAAATATATGCATAGATTGGGTGGGATGAGAGAACATGTTTCCCATTGAGGAAATATATGAATTGTATACCTCTGACTACTGAGGGGATATTATATGGCAACCCTCTCTGCTCTTGTGCTCACTATATATGGAGATAAAGTATAGATTGCCTTTTCTATAAAATACCTGGAAGTCACTCTCAAAGTTTTACTGTAATTCTGTCTACTGGCAGTCTATGACAAGTAAAATACTGTAGAAGTTAATCTTTCTCATTATACTCCCTGGATTCCAGGCAACTGGTAAATAAGCACTGTGTCTACAGAGTTGTTGTTGTTGTTGTTAAGTGCCATGGAGTCAGTTCTGACTTATAGCAACCCTATATAGGGTTCCCAAGGACAGCTGGTGGGTTCCAGTGCTTAACCTACAGCGACACAAGAGGACTCCACTAATCCTCTTAGTAATCATTTATGAGTAGGCAGGGTTTGGACTTAGTGACGTGCAACCTCTAAAGAATACTACAGGCCTACCTACCCCAGAAATATGATGGGTTCAGTTGCAGACCACCACAATAAAACTAATGTAGCAATAAAGTGAGTCACACAAATTTGTTTTTTGTCCCCAGTGCATTTGAAACTATTTTGTAGTCTATTAAGTGTGATAACATTATTAAAAAGTTTGAAATATTGTGAAAATTATTGAAATGTGATACAGACACAAAGTGAGCCCAAGGTCTTGGGAAAATGCTTGCTTGACCTTGAGTGGCCACAAACCTTTATATATTAAAAAAAAGTCCTTGTCTGCAAAGTATAATAAAGTGAAGCTCAATGGAACAAGGTCTGCCTAAGAAGAGAAGTACCCAGGTGTCAGCCGGCACCAACAGGTCCCCAGCTGCTGTACCTGGAGAACAGACAGGGCATTTGAAATGAGGAAAGCAGATATCACACTTACCTCTTTTCTTTGGTCCACAGTTGCTGTGTTTTATTGATGAATCAGCAAATACCTGATTGGCTGTACTGTAAAGAAATGAATGATTTTTTGTTCTTGTCAAACCATCATCCTAAGAACTATATTCTCTAGTTCAATAAATACTCTAGTACAAGTCCATAAAATAGATTGATATGAAAATACTTTGTTGTTCCTTTTGTAGGAATCCCAAGATGTAGCCAGCAGTCCACCTGAGAGCTCCTTCCAGAAGCTAGCACCCAGCGAATATAGGTACACTTTACTGAGGGATCGAGATGAGCTTTAAAAACTGGATAAACAATTGGCAAGCCTTTGAAACAGCAACATCAACTTATGTGGTGGAAATAGTAAACCTATATTTTCATAATTCTGTGTATTTTTATTTTGAATAAACTGAAAGAAGTTTTGGGTTTTTATTTTTTTTTCCCTCCCCCTGACTCAAAAGGCATCATCATTTAATATCGCCTCTTTTTAAAATCAACTAGGGTTAAAAAGTAAAAATCAGAGGCCTATCTTTGCTTTCATTCTATCCTGTAAAACTTTTACAGATCAAGTAAAAGGTGGCATTTTACCCGAGACATACCGTTCACTTGCACTACTGGCTTAGGGAGGTCTTTAGAGTGTTTCCTGTGGAGTGTGTGCTTTCCTTTCTTTTCTCTTCATATGACCGGTTCTGTTGGTATTTTCACTATCACATTTCTCAAAGCTAAGGGGATATATATTCTGGATACTTGGGAGGGGAATAAATTAAAATGCTCACACTGTGTACTGTGTCTTACTGATTGGTCGGATACTGCTTATGGTAGTTTTTGGACTCTTAGTGCTTAGCTTAAGCATACTATGAAGAGGAGGAGAGCCATAAACCAGAATATTAGGCAGGAATTGTCCTTATGCATTAAGAAAAAGAAAATGAAAAGTGTTATTAAATGTCTGTGTGTTTATCTATAAAAGTAGCATATGGATGGCATTTAAAACTTCACATGTATTCTACCTAAATCTGAGAAAGGGAGCAGGTTACCAGTGTTGAACTAGGTGGCCCTTAAGCCTCCTCCGAACCATGGGACTTCAATTTCCAAAGAGGAAAAAAACCAGCAGAGAAAATGTATTTCAATATTTCTAACCTCTTTCTGTCTTGTAGAGTCTTTCTTGTAGCTGAATCATTCAAAAACAACAACAAAAATGAAGGATCATATAGGCTTTTTATTTCTTTCCCTTGTAAAATAGCCAGAGGATCCTGCCCTTTCTGAATTCTCTGACTTCCCAGGCCTGTGTTGTACAGTCAAATGGGTCCCTGTGTCAGGCCTCAACACTGCCAGGGTGGGGACCCTCCACTTTCTATCAGGAAGCCCAAAGCCAGAGGACAGACAGGTTCCAAATGGACTCTCCTCTAGGCCTGGGTCGGTGCTATGGGTCAAGAGTCGTTTTATACTTGGGATGTAAGTCAATCCCAGTTTGGGGAAAGATTATTTTTAAGCTTAAAAGGTTGACATGTGCCATTATATGTAGTATGTAATATATGTAACATCTTCCAATTCTTTTAAAATAAAAAGTATTTATAATGGATATTTAATGATTGTTCTTTTTAAAAAATCAGCTTAGAATTCTTAGTATGCATGAGTTAGCCATAGTTTTGTTCAAAAAAGTAAATGATGTTGATAAGATGGTCAGTGGCATGTTGAATATTTTCACCAGAGTGTGAATTAGAAAAAAACAAGACATAAAAAGGTTGATTTTTAGTTGTGTCCTCATCGTTGCTTTTAATCAATCATTTGAATGAAATCACAAGCATTGAACAAGCTAGGCCACAGGACCAAAAGCAGGACATAAAATTAACTGGAGTACATTTGTAATCATGAATTTGCTTCAGGACTGAGTTGCAGAGACTGGGTTTGAGAGTAATTCTTTTGAAAAAGTTCTCAAGGAGGACATGTTCAATGTGATTTAAGGTAATTGAGTGGTTGTTTTTAAAAAGTGAATGGATTAAGAAATACATTAAATAGGCTTCATGCGTGTTGGCATAAGACTTGTTCCATTGTCTTCTTTAGACTGTGAAGCCAGCGAGGGCAAGGACACAGGTTTTATGTCTGCATCAGCAGTGCCTGTATTTCTGGGCACTTTGTTATTGTTAAGTGCCTTCCCAAGCACAGCTGGTGGGTTTGAACTACTGACCTTGTGGTTAGCAGTCCAGTGCTTATCTGATAGCACCACACCAGGACCTCACAGTGTATTATATATGTAGGTGTATTTTCTGCAGGTACAGTTATATGTGCAGGGATATCTGCTGCCAATCATTTTTCTATTCCATGAATTCCTGGAGCTTTGTTCTTAGCCGCTGTTTTCATTGCAGTGTGGACTTCCTTTATTACCAGTGGTTGTTGATTATATAATGCCTCTTGAAATGACTGAGCATCAGCCAATTCTTTTTGGTACAGTGGCTGTATTCCTTTCTTTTTTTTTTTTTTTTTAAGATTACTGCTTTAGTCAATATTTTCCCCATAAAATCCTTCAAATTTTAAACCCAAAGCTTGATTTTTTTCTTTTTTTTTTTTTTTCCAGCTTGAGAAATGCTAAGTGTGTTCTTCCCTTTTGGTTTTCTAACTCCAGGTCTTTGCATATTTCATTATAATACTTTTTTATAATACTGTTATTTTAAGCTGCCCTTTGAAATTTTCTGTTGAGCACTTTTACTTCCTCATTTCTTCCATTCACTTTAGCTTTTCTATGCTCAAGAGCAAGTTTCAGTGTCTCTTCTGACATCCATTATGGTGTTTTCTTTATTTCTGTCTTTTTAATGACCTTTTGCTTTCTTCATGTCTGATATCCTTGATGTCATCCCACAACTATATGACCGTCAGTCATTGGTGTCTAAGGCATCAAATCTGCTTGAGATGATCTCTAAATTCAAGTGGGATATGTTCAAGGTCATACTTGGGCTTTTCTTCAGCTTCAGCCTGAACTTGCATGTGAGCAATTGATGGTCTGTTCCACAGTTGGCCCCTGGCCTTGTCATGGCTGATGATATTGAACTGCTCCATCGTCTCTTCCCGTAGATATAGTCAGTTTGATTTCTGTGTATTACATTTGGTGAGGCCCGAGTGTTTTATGTTGTTTTAAAAAGATGTTTACCATGACTAAGTCATTAGTCTTGCAAAATTGAATCATGCAACCTCCAGTGTCATTTCTGTCACCAAGGCCAAGTTTCTCTCTACTGATCCTTCCTCTGTTTCCAGTCAACATGCATTCCATTCACCAGTAATGATCAGTGCATCTTGATTGCATGTTTGATCAATATCAGACTGAATAAATTGGTAGGATTCAATTTCATCGTCACCAACTTTAATGGTTAATGTGTATATTTTAATAATACTGGTATTAACAGGGCTTCCTTGTAGTGTTAAGGATTTTCCTCAGGCAGCATTGTAGTTCAAGATAGATATTGAAATGTTCTTTTTAATGATGAGTATGATGCCATTCATGTTCAATTTGTTATTCCTGACATAGTAAACCGTATGATTGTCTTAATTCAAACTGGTCACTACCAATCCGTTTCAGCTCACTAATGTCTAGGATATTGCTCTCTATGCATTCCATTTTATTTTTGATGACTTCTAGTTTTCATAGAGTCATACTATGTACATTCCATATTCTGATTACTGATGGATATTTGCAGCTATTTCTTCCCATTTTGCATTTGCCACATTAGCTATCAAAGATCCTGAAAGCGTCGTTCCATTCACATTGTTAGGGCCACTCGCCTTTGAGGAGGCAGCTCTTCTACAGTTGTCTTTTGAGTGCCTTCCAACGTGAGGGGCTCATCTTCGGGCACGATATCTGACGGTATTCTGCTATTTCTAAGGTTTTCAGTGGCTAACCATTCAGAAGTGGTCTGCCTTTCCTTCTTCCTAGTCTTCGTCTTGAAGTTCTACTGAAGTCTGTCTACCACAGGTGACCCCACTCATACTTCAATAGCTTCCAGTACCACAGCATTGTTTCCAATGTCACAGTAACACACAAGCCACCACAGTATGACAAACTGATAGATAACTGGTAGATATAGAAAGAGAAAGTCAAGAACTCAGCATTAGTCAGTAGTAACCCAGTGCTGTAAACAGCTAACTGTTAATCTAGTCAGCCCAAAGGTACCAGAAACGCCTGGTTATCTACTTCTGAAAGGTAGCAGCCTTGAAACCCCTATAGCAGTTCTCTGCACATGGGGTCGCCATGAGTTGGAATTGATAGCAAGTAAAAGCAACAGCCACGACCCAGTGAAAATGTAGACTTCCCCTCTGTCTGATGGCCTGGTCTCGGGCTCCTCAGCTGTGAACAGGACATTGAAGACCAGACTCAAGAACACAGTCCAGGTGCTCCCACTGCCTTTGCTAGTTTTTGAGAAATTGTTCTAGTCTGAGGGGACCATAAAAGATGAAAATTCACATTAGATTAAATTCGGAAAGAACTTTGAAAATTCAAATTAACCAGGAGACGGAGACAGGAGAATGGGCAGCTGAAGCCTGTAGCACAGCTGTCTGTCTAGAGAGCCCGCTGAGGAAGGCAGGTGTCAAAGATCAGGTTCAAAAAGAAACACTGACCTGGTAAAGCCCCCAAAGAGCAAAGTGAGATAGAAGATCATGTCTAAAATGTTAAAGCGAAAATGAACTTAAATTAGTGGAAAATGCGCCAACTTCTCAAAAGACAGCTTTTTGTTCGTTTAACCCAAGTCAGGGCAAAAGAAGAATGGATGAAGGAGTGTAATAAGTTGACAATTAGTAAAAGCAGAATGACTCCATTTTTCTTTTTCCTGTAAGAAATATATGGGTGCTTCAGAAAGTTCAATAAGATTCCCTTCTCTTTTAATTCCATTTTTTCCCATGAACTTTTATAAATATAATCCAGCTGGAAAAAAATAAAATGGCATAATCAAAATTGCAACAATAATAAGTAAATAAAATCTCTTAAGTGATTTCAAGTCTTAGGCCCAGACTTCTGTAGCCCAGAAAGCAGGTCCCAGGTGGAAATGCTTCCTGCTAGCGGCTGTTTGGGAATTGTTGAGGTACCACAGACAATGTAAGACTGTGCGGTGTAGACTGGAAATGGGTAAATCATTTCCTCGTTTTGAAAATATAGTTCATAATTTTAGCTGTTTTTCTTAAATGAAACATCTTGGGAAGCAAACTAAAACATTAATAGTCTGTATTTGAGGGGGAAAATTGTATATGTGTAAAGAACAATACAATTAACAATTTTAAAGCCCCTCAAGCCCAATATTTAAAATTCCTGAAGACTAAGTTGTTTCAGGACTTAGAGAAGTTGTTTTATGCTAAATATAATTGTTATATGTGTTCATTAAAATAGGTTGGATAGGAACTCTGCTTGGCAACTGTTTTTAGCTGTATTTTAATTTTTGTA